CCTGTTAATGAATTCCTCAGGTAGAGTTTCATCCCAAGCACATTTAAGCTTCCATGCTTCTTGTATTAATAATTGCCCTCTTATAGTAAAGGGTGACACTAAGCCTAGTGGAACAAAACATTTGGAAACTTCAGCAAGCAAGATTCTCTTAGCTAATTTATTAGGCATACTGTAATTATTAGGTTTTAACATTAACAAATCTTTCTCAGTATTCCAAGTTAATCCCAATGCATTACTACATTTTGGCACTTAATCTCCAGGGTAATCTTTACTTATTTTGTCCCTTAATCTGGACGAATTACTATTCCATTCCCTCAGAGGCATATTTGCACTTTGCATTATTTTATTAGCCTCTCCATAAGTCATTAACAGTTCCTCTTCAGTTGACGTCACACCTAGGAAATTGTCCACATAAAATTGTTTGCTCATTACTTTACTCAATGGACTTTCCGTACATTTAAGGTGTGCATATATCGTCGCTTGAAGTAGGAATGGACTGGATGTGGCACCAAATAATACGCTCCTAAAGTGAAAGGTTTTCAGAGGGCTAAGTGGGTCACTAGGATTCTCAGGCCATAAGAAGTGGGTACAATCCCGGTCAGCGTCTTGTAAACCCACTCTTTGGAAAGCTTTACTTAGGTCAGCCGTAAAGGCATAATTCTTCACTCTGAAATTTAATAAGATATCTCCTAATTTTTCCGTCAACGACGGACCTGTCACCAAACAGTCATTTAAACTAGGTACATTTTTGTTACTCCTGGCACTACAATTAAACACAATCCTCAGAGGAGTGGTCTTAGAATCCTTCTTCACTATGTGATGTGGCAAATAGTGCCCATAAATTTTGGCTTGCTCAGGAGATACCTCTTCTATAAATTTATTAATTAATTGTTCAGTAATTATGTCATTATAGACAGTCAACAATTCTGGTGTCTTATTCAGTTCGCGGAGCTGAGCCTTTAATTGTCCATATGCCATTCTGTAATTAGTGGGCAATTCTGGATGGTTCAGTCTCCAAGGAAGTCGTACCCAGTATTGTCCAGATTCAAAGTTTACATCTCTCAGGTATTGTTCCTGAGTAAAGGAATCGTCTGAACTTTCTTCATTTACATTTATTCCAATGCTGTCTAATTCCCACAATTTATGCACTGGCTCAACACCATCCTCTATAGAAGAATTATACTGGGGCACGATTTCATGAGCAAGACACACAGTGATAGTATTTATAGCTTCCTCTAGTCATGCATTATTATTACAAGGAATCCTACCATACATTACATGGCCTCCTGCAGTCTTTAAAAGGGTGACACCACATTTCTTTACAAAGAAGGCATAATAGTCACTACCTATCAAAATATTTATTGGGCCTTCAGAATCATCATTTACACCAGAAGGTGCTAAATTTACATTGTGAAAGTCTTTCTGTAGCTTTACTAAGCCCTACTGTAGATATTTTTTCTGGAAGTCTATCTACAATTATTGCATTAACACGTTTTTTCTCATTGCCCAACCTGACAGTTACATAAACAGTGTCATACAATTGAGCTCTTTTATCTGAGAGAAAACCAGATAATTTTAGAGTTGCAGGATCTCCTACCTGTACTTTCATACCATCAAGACATTTACTTTTTATGAAAGTACGCTGGGATCCCTGGTCCAATAATGCAGTTACATTTTTGATTTATGCCTTTTATCATCAATTTTTACCTGTAACACAGGTAAGGCTACTTCAGCAAAACCATCATTATTAACATTAGCGGCAATTTTTACATTAGCCACTGTTGTGTCAGGATTGTCAACATTATCATTATTATCAACATTATCATTATTATCAACATTATCATATAGACCCTTACACATGACTATATGGTGTCTTCCTTTGTGACATTGATAACAGTTGCTTAATATGGCATGACAATCCTTTACATAGTGATTACCTAGACATCTGATACATCTGTCAAGTTCTTCCTATCTTTCAACTTTATCATTCCATGAATTGTATGCATTGCAATTCTTAGAAAAATGAGTACCCTTGCTGAAGAGACAATCTCTCTTTTCTTTGACTGGTTTCTTATTAACTGGGTTACTCTTAGGAGGGTACTTATTCTTCTTATCTTGTGGAGAATCATTATTTCTGATTCCTGCTACTCGATATGCACCTATGTAACTCTTTTTAGGAAATGAAATTTGATTATTAACATGGGGATAATTTTTCCCTTTGTGAAACTTGACAGATACCTCAGAGTTATTATGTGTTGCATCTTTAAAATGAGTTGGTTAGTTGGTTGGTCTGCAACTGAACAATTAATTCTTGTAGACCTAGTCTTATTTCCTCCAGACCAAAATAACCTTTGTGATACTTGTTTGAGATCCATTCAAGTATTTTACAGCTTAATTTATTCTGTACAATGGCACTCAATAACCAGTATGATTCCTTCAGATTATAATTATTACTTAAAGTTTTGAGAGTGCTCTCCAGTTTAACTCTAAACTGCTGTAAACCTTTGTAAGTGTGATCTGGAGATTTTAAATTAACAATGATATTCACTAGATCCAACCTACTTTGTTCTATATTACCATAAGTGACCTTCAACAAGTCAACTGCTTCTTTGTAAGAATCATCTACATTGGGAAAGGCTTGTGTATGTGAGCATCTCCTCTTATCTGTCCTTTGAGGTAAAATAATTTAGTAACACATGCTAGGTCACTCCTATCATGCACAGCTGCTTTAAAAATATACCAAAACTCCTCCCAATTTTCTCCAGGATTAAATACAGGTAAACATAATTCTGGGAGTTATGGCAAAGACATCTTATTTGTTGGATCAGATTAACTGCCTGGTTTACACATTTTAATTTATTCAGGGCCTGACTTTTACAAGAAATAATCTTTTCCTCTAATTCATAATACTGGTTGATCATAAGATTTACTTCTGTCTCATCAACACAGTTTACTAACAAATCTCCTTCATATTTGCTATAATATAATTTGTATGAATCATATCTATTCCCTAACGCATCTAAATACGATTTTAAATCATCAGTATTCACAGTTTCTTGATTCATTACTTCCAAACACTTATTGTATGCCTTGGTTATGTGACCTTTTCTAGCCTGCAATGATGATTTTTTTGCTCTAAATTCCATGTGTTTGTCTTCTACATTAATTTTCTCATTTTCACCGATGATGAAATGTATTAAATTCAACTTAATTAATAACACTGATTATGTACTTAATTATGCACTTTATAAAGGTAAATATTACAACTTTCCTCTGAATAAATCCTAGCTATACTTGAGCTTAGCAATTACATGTAAGAAAATTGTAATATAAACTTTATACATTAATAATGTTAGCTACACTTGAGCTTAGTAATTACACATGTAAGAAAATTATAATATAAATTTTAAATACACATTAATATAAACCTTAGCCAGACTTGGCTTATCCTTGCCAGACTTGGCTTAGCAAAATTAATGTTATACAAATATACTAATATAAATCTTTGCCAGACTTGGCTGAGCAAAATTAATATTATACAAATACACTAATATAAGTCTTTGCCAGAATTTGGCAAAGCAAATTTAATATTATACACATTAATATAATCCTAGCCAGACTTGGCTTAGCAAAATTAATATTGTAATAATTATAATCCACTACACATTAAGTAAATTTGTGAACTTAACATCCACCTCCTTCTGTCATTTCACATATAATTATTAAGTAATTAATTCACTAATTAATGACTTCACTAATTACATCCGGTTCAAAGGACCTATGGGCAACTAAATTGTGGAAAATTAAATTTACTCGGATGTATCTCATTAGATACATACCAGTAAATGGTAACAAAGATAATTATCAGTTATCAAAGTTACAGAGACAAGTAGGAATTTAGGACACCTAGGTTGCAAAAAAATGTCCCCCTTCGATACCTACCATAATCTATCTCGCCACAAGTTGCTCTAGACCTATATTAATTGCAAATGAAATGTACATCACCAGGAATTCTGGTAAAATTTAATATAAATTTGTGGACTGTATATTAAAATTAATAAATGATTACATATACACATTTATATAACAGAAGGAGAATTTATAATCATAACACTCACCAATTTGTCTGGAGATTGCTGTGTATTATACTCAAAAAACCTGTCTAAATATATAGAGAAAACTGGCCAGAATCTCAACTAGACTTATCTGAGGTTCCTGGAGCTGTCCTGTCCAACTGCTTAATGCTCAAATTATGCAGGACTGCACATCCAACAATTTCGGCTCCTATTTGAGAGGTTTTAAGCCCAATATAACCCCTAGACTCCTAGAGCGACGAAATTTAAGCACATTACATTAGCGTGTCTGTACCACATTCAAAAAAACAATGGCGACTCTCCCCTGCTCGTCAGCGCAGGCCAGAGCTTCCCTGTCGATTTCTCTTTTTAAAATGCAGTCAACAGAACAATAGTAATGTATTAATCAGGTTTATTTACACAGCATAAATTTTGAGAAATTATTTTCCACACCACGGGTTCAACCCCACCGTTCATGATTTATTTCATCTTGTTCGATTGGAGAAGACCGCTTTTAACTTGTACTAGTTGGACGGAGTTTACCGAGTTCTTTTGACCATCCCATCAGCTTAATGTGAGGACTATATGCCAGATGGGATGCATATCTCACCCATCATTCTTGAATCCTTGTTAATTCAGCTGAAATGACAACTGTAATGAATCTGAACTTAATTTGTATCACTTATTTAATTACATTAAGCCAACTATTGTAACCATTCTAAGAACCATAGTGAAGTGATTATAACTGAGCAGAAAATAATTTCGGTAAGTGCGAAATAATAATAAAAATAATAATAATAATAATAATAAGAAGAAGAAGAAGAAGAAGAAGAAGTAAATAAGATAAAAGAAGAGTAGAATTTTTCTTTCAGTCGGGTGTCACATTACCTTCAGTTCGTTCATACCCAGAGTGGCAGAGTAACTTACGATAACCTTCATGCCTGGGCAGGATGCTGGCTTGAGGGGTGGCTTGGTGATGAGTGTGGCCTCTTGCTGGCTTGGTGATGAGTGTGGCCTCTTGCTGGCTTGGTGATGAGTGTGGCCTCTTGCTGGCTTGAGTGGTTGCTTGGTGTGACTTGTATCTCTTTGGTTGCTGCTGGAAGGATGGGTGAACCTGGTGATGTCCTGCGAAGTGTGTCCTGGGGACAGACAGCAATGCAATTCACGTTAATGCTTTCCGAGGGTAATTTCCTCGGTGATGGTAAAGGGCTCTTCATCCAAGGAATTGGAGCTGTTTTCCTCTTACTCGAATCAAACACATTAATATATTTCTCAGCAACCATGGTATTCCTACGACTTTTGCGAACCCCATAAAATATGATAATACTAATACTACTACTAATAATAACAGCAATAATAATAAATTTTACTGTAGGATTTATTGCATAATGATCCCCAGAAGAAAAATGGTACATGTACTTGTCTCACTTCCAGAACTACTGTCCACATTTTTCGAGTACTATTTCAACTAAAATAAAAAAAAAAAAACTCTTACAACCAAGTCCCAGACTCCTCATAGTACTCCTATACCCAGACTCATCTTAGTACTCTTACATCGAAACTTTTCATAGTACTCTTACACACAGACTCCTGGTGAGCTTTGCGGTAAGTGCTGCGGTATGCGCCGAGTTAGTTTCAGTTTATTCGGCGTTCATCACACGACCAATTTTTTTACCTTTCCTCTATACCAGCCGCACTGGCAGTCAGGTGGGAATGGTTGCTTATGGTCCCCGGCCACTCTGATTCACTGTCAGACTTATTCCTTAACTAATGGGGTGAGAGGCTGGCTCTAGCAGAATTGAAGTTATGTTTACCGCCCTGGCACAATTCATACTCACCAGCCGGCTGAGTACACACACACACACATACTGGTCAAGTATGAGGTGAAAATAGTGTTGGAGTGAGTTATCTCACTTTGCTCTCTTTCTAGTTAACATCTTGCTGCTCCACTGAACATTTTATATATAGTAAATATTGGTGGAGGAAATATTCGGGTACTCAAAACTACCCAGGTCTTGCCATTGCTTTTGTTTTGAAATTTGCTCCTTGTCTGGAGACTTAATTTACGGTCAGGTACAAGAGATCTTTCTTAGTGAACCTGTGTTCGTAATGTGGGATGCCTGTATTGTAGGCAATTCTGTTATTTTGTAGAGCTTCATTGCCCTCTGTCTTGCTTACGTTAATGCAAATATTTCGTTACTGCTGCCATGCATTGAGCGTATTATTACCGGGTATTGCTTACTATGTTTAGTACTGGCTGGGTAATGCCACCTGCGCATGTTAGGCGTTTGGGGCGGCATATAGTTTGCAATCATTGCCCAGACAATCTCTGCAGCTCTGTTGGCATTAAATATCTTCATACTTTAACTGCTGTACAGCTTCGTCGCAGCGCTGTAGGACCCTAGTGGGTTTAGCGCTTGGTTTTGATTATAATATTGCATAGCTCCATGAGCTAATTCACACGAGCTAAGGTTTAATTCATCCAATATAGCTGCTGCATTTGGTGTATCTACTGCTCAGGAAGCTCGTGTTAGTCTCCTCTCCCCATTGTTACCTAGCTCTGCAGTGGAAGGTCGAGCATTGGCCAACTCTTTTTAACACGAGTTGCATGGTGAAAGCAATGGTATTCACTTCCGTCAAGCATATCAGTGCATTCCTGTTAAATATCGACGAGGATTTTAAGATGAATAAGCTTGACCAAAGCAATTATGTGCAGATGTTACTAGGCTAGTCACTGTGGATTTTATCTATTGGGGTCTTCTGATCCACTCTCTCAGACCGCGACCTACAGATTAGATTATATTTTGCCACCGAAATGGCTAGTTTATTGTGCACCCCATATCCATCTTGTGAACGGTAGCGTAAAAGCATATGGATACACAAAAGGCCTAGGAACTAGGCTCCAAAAGGGTTAACAGGAGCACATATGGATTTATATCTACAGTTCGCTTATCTGTTACAAGCAAATTTAGGAAATTTGCTTAGCATATCTGGTATCTTATTTTCATTAATAAGATATCTTGACATATCACATAGGTTTTTCTTCTTCTCAATGTGGGCAATGTGGCAGATGTTGCAGGTGTATGGTGTAGGAGGTAGGTTACTGAAAGCAGTGAAGAGTTTTTACGAGGATAGTGAGGCTCAAGTTAGAGTATGTAGGAAAGAGGGAAATTATTTCCCAGTAAAAGTAGGCCTTAGACAAGGATGTGTGATGTCACCGTGGTTGTTTAATATATTTATAGATGGGGTTGGAAGAGAAGTAAATGCGAGGGTCTTGGCTAGAGGCGTGGAGTTAAAAGATAAAGAATCAAACATAATGTGGGAGTTGCCACAGTTGCTCTTTGCTGATGACACTGTGCTCTTGGGAGATTCTGAAGATAAGTTGCAGAGATTGGTGGATGAATTTGGTAGAGTGTGCAAAAGAAGAAAATTAAAAGTGAATACAGGAAAGAGTAAGGTTATGAGGATAAAAAGATTAGGTGATGAAAGATTGGATATCAGATTGGAGGGAGAGAGTAGGGAGGAGGTGAATGTATTCAGATATTTGGGAGTTGACGTGTCAGCGGATGGGTCTATGAAAGATGAGGTGAATCATAGAATTGATGAGGGGAAAAGGGTGAGTGGTGCACTTAGGAGTCTGTGGAGACAAAAAACTTTGTCCTTGGAGGCAAAGAGGGGAATGTATGAGAGTATAGTTTTACCAACGCTCTTATATGGGTGTGAAGCATGGGTGATGAATGTTGCAGCGAGGAGAAGGCTGGAGGCAGTGGAGATGTCATGTCTGAGGGCAATGTGTGGTGTGAATATAATGCAGAGAATTCGTAGTTCGGAAGTTAGGAGGAGGTGCGGGATTCCAAAGCTGTTGTCCAGAGAGCTGAGGAAGGGTTGTTGAGGTGGTTCGGACATTGTAGAGAGATGGAGCGAAACAGTGTGACTTCAAGAGTGTATCAGTCTGTAGTGGAAGGAAGGCGGGGTAGGGGTCGGCCTAGGAAAGGTTGGAGGGAGGGGGTAAAGGAGGTTTTGTGTGCGAGGGGCTTGGACTTTTCCAGCAGGCGTGCGTGAGCGTGTTTGATAGGAGTGAATGGAGACAAATGGTTTTTAATACTTGATGTGCTGTTGGAGTGTGAGCAAAGTAACATTTATGAAGGGGTTCAGGGAAACCGGCAGGCCGGACTTGAGTCCTGGAGATGGGAAGTACAGTGCCTGCACTCTGAAGGAGGGGTTTTTAATGTTGCAGTTTAAAAACTGTAGTGTAAAGCACCCTTCTGGCAAGACAGTGATGGAGTGAATGGTGAAAGTTTATCTTTTTCGGGCCACCCTGCCTTGTTGGGAATCGGCCAGTGTGATAATAATAATAATAATAATCACATATGTTATTATACTGTCTATCTCAATAAGTGGACAATTAAGCACAAAGTGTTCAAGACAGTGACCATATGCCTGATCACATAATTTACATTTAGTTTGATCATCATCTGTGTGTCTCCCAAACTGCCAGAAGTACTTGTAACCAAGCCTAAGCCTGGCCACTACAACATCAGTGTGTTCACATTGCACGTTGCTCCATAAACATACTTGTCAGACACTGCAACATCATGAAATCTTGGTTCAGAGGACATCTACAAGACCTTCACGGCTGCTACAACTAACCCATCCCTTTGGGTAAGACCTACTTCCACTGGGGAATCCCGCCTACCACTGACTATGCCCTCGTCTGCTACACGTCCTTATCCACTGACGCCTATATAACCGCTAGTCTTTTTGCCTTTGCCAGATTCTCCTCCACCCCCGATGCTGGGAACACTAACCCAAGCTGAGGGACTATTTTTATAGTGTTCCAGTAAAAAACCCCTTGCA